GCGGCAGGGCCGGGCGGGGGGGCCTTCCCCCGTCGGGGTGCGGGTGGGTGCCGAGGGGGCGGGGAGCGGTGGCGATGCTCCCGCCGGACAGCCCCTCCGAGCTGTAAGACTGGGGCCGTTTGGGGCACGACTCTGCCCAGGATTTCGGGGTGCAGTGGGGCAGGTCTGTCGGCTACAAGCCCCACGCAGCGGTGTCCCCTCCTGAATGCACTTTCTTTGACTCGGCTGTTGCTTTTTGGGTTTCTGGTCTCTTTGGTGGCTTCTTGGACCTGTCCCGAATCAGCAGGTCCGTGGAGGCTTGGTTCACACCGCGTCTGTTTGCCAGCCCTTTTCCAGCCATGCAGGACTCGCTGGAGATGCTCCCTTCCCTCTGCACGCCCCAAGGACCTGAGCAGCTGCTGCAGGCAGGCGCAGATGCTGCGGCTGGACCAAGAGCAGCAGGGCAAACCTCGTGCCTGCGTTTCTCACGCGCTTGTGAGCAGTGTTGTTTTTAGCCAGACAAGTCATTTAAGGCCCAGCTTTGTCTCTCCCTGGGGAGGTGCGAAAGGTCTCTGGTTATAATCCACCCCCGCCAGCATGGCAAACCCTACTGTTATCCTCCTAGTTATTTTAGATGGGTTTTACTGAGAGGCCTGTCCTGAAAAGAGGGAACGGCATACCAGGGTCTCCCCTGTGTGGAGCAGGTGATTTCTTTCCTCCCTCAGCTCAGGTGTGGGCATGCTGGAGTTTGCTACAGCTGCTTCCTTGTATAAAGGGCAGATGGAGGCACAAGCTGCCCCTAAAGAGGGGTGGGAAATGGTGTTGCAGCTGGTGTGGAGCCTTCCTTGTCCTGGGAGAGGTAAGAAAAGCTGCTCCTGCAGTTTACTTCATTTTTTTTTTTGTCTCTCAAATGGCACAATTTAATGTTATGAAGGACTTTGCTCTTTTAAAAGTTTGACTAGAGATCTGGTGGGGGACAAGCCCTGGGCTCAGCATGGCTTCTTTGTGTCCCTTGGCTGCCGGGGGGTCTGTGCAGGAGGGCTGGGCAAGCCCCAGTGCTGAGGTGTCAGGGCAAAGCTGTGCTGGGCACATCCACCCCCTCTGCAGCGCTTGTTACCGGCCCCTTCCTGAGCTGGGGCTGCCCAGGGCTGCAGATCTCACCCCTTCAGGCCACGGCCCTGAGGAGC